AGAGATGGTCAAAAGCAGATAAGGAATCGAGGTGTAGAAAAAGGTGATGGGTACGTCCTGGAGAGGAGCCGCTTCCGAAAGGTGGGCAGCAGGCTGTGGAGTTGCACAGATGCAGGTTCTATGGATGCACTGAGGCCAGAAGCCCGGAGCCAGTTCCCACCCCAGTACCTGCTGCACTAAATCCCGGCCATCAGAAGGGGGTGAGAGGGCTGAGAACTCTGGAGCCCGGCAGAGCTTCCTCTTGGGTGAAGAAGCCACTGGAATAATTAGCACAAAGCAGGTAAAAATTCTGTGCTGGTTGAGCTTCTAAAAGTGTGAAGAATCAGAGACCTCCAGGCAGTAGGTAGAGCTGAATCAGAACGGGGCACAGAACAAGGCTGGGAGCGGTGGCCGGGCCTGGGCCTGCGTTCAGCACGTGGGAGCCGGAGCTAGGAGGATCGCAGTTCAGTCCAGCTGGGGCTGCAGCGTTTGAGACCCACTCTTTAAAAATGACAGCTAATCCCTCCCACCCCCTGAACAGACACTAGAGGTAGAAACGAGGTCTGAGAAACGTAATGGAAGAAAACAGTGCTCGTACCTGCGGGCGGGCTGTGCGTGGCTGCCGGAGCAGGGTAGCGTGAGAGGCTGCCTGGCCAGATTCCTGGATGGACACGACGAAAGGAGCGAGGGTCTGGTCTGCCGAGAAGAAGCGGGGTATTGGAGAATGGTTAACATAAATGACATTTTTTGTTCGGCCAAGGTCCCCTCCCCCAAATGCGTGTGAGCAAAGCGAGTTCCTCGCAGCAGACCCTGGTACCCGAGCCGGAGCACAGCACTCCAGCAAGCCAAGGGCTTTGCGTTCAGCCAGGCAGCGCTCTCAGAAGTGGGTGGGAAACAAGGACAAGGCCTTCCTGGGGAAGCCCCGGGGAGAGTCAACAGCCAGGGAGCCGCATGTACAGCTTCAGCAGCAGGACCTGTGCAGGGTGTTCAGTGGATGGAGGAGTATGGTACAGGAGCAGCGCCTGCGCACAACACCAGCCCAGTCAAAAGCAGCCAGTGCATCAGGCACAGGAGTGCCCATCTGCAGTCAAAGTACTAAAGGGAAAGTTCCAAAAATGACAGGTTAATTGTGTCCATTCTGACTGACTTGATTCTGCGTCATCCCACCAGGGTTGAGCGTAGCCGCCACCACCATTATCAGGTAGACCATATTCACAGACTTTCTTACAGTTTTCTGTCAGGACTATTAGGTTAAATTGCTGTTAATCTCTTAATAGACTATTGAAAATTAGCATAGGTAGGTGTGCACCAGAAAACACATGGTACATAAAGGGTTTGAGAACTATCTGGTTTCTTGCCTCACTAGTCTTGGGATGATGCATCTGCAGCTGAGCGGCCAACTGTCATATAGGTTTAAGTCCATTTAATAAAAAAGGATTAAGATGTTGCTGCTGGCCTGGCAGAAGCCTGCAGTACCAGCACTTGGGAGGTAGTGGCAGGAGAATCCCAAGTTCAGGGTCACCCTGGATTCTGCAGGGAGACTCAAGAGGGATGTTCTGATTAGTGTCGACTTTGCAGAGTGTAGGAAGGGAGATTGGTTCTTGTCATTGCCCTGGTGACAGACCATTGGTGTTAAATGTGGGTATAAATACTGAGTACCTACAAAGGACAAGTGAGAAGACCAAGCTCTTTATGTAGCCAGCAAGTAGAAAGCAAGGCACTGCCACCCAGGAGAGAAGGGAAACAGGCGAGTGTGTTCTTTCTGTCCCAGCGCACCCCCTCCTCTGGGAAAGCTGAGTGCGGCACCTGCTTGTCAGGTGTTGCCACAGTCTGGAGCCAAACACAAGTTTACCGTCTTGAGTAAGAAACGGATTGAGAAGTTCTAGGGAAGCTGGGCCCACACTTGCCAGGTGAAGTCAAAGGCTTGGCAGAATGGAGGCCGTAGGGCCTCATGGTAGCTTTGGAAGCCTTTGCCTTGCCCAGCAGCTTTCCTGGAACAGTGTTTAGAAGAGACGGGAAGAAGGACAGATGAGCTGGCGGGTTAACCTCAAAGTGAATGCAAAGATAACATGAAAGAGTCACAAAACAGGGCTGAAGTTCATATGCCAGAAGCAAGTAGGAGAAATAAGTCACCTTTACAAACAGGAAGGAATGGGGGGTACACATCAGGGAACAGGAAGTGGGGCTGGACAGGCACAGATGCCCTCTACCACATGTGAGCCCAAGACCTTGGACAGCGGCATAGGTGTGAATTCTCCCATGTGGAAGCATGGTAACAAAGCAGCCAAGACCATTTTTTTGAAGGACAGAAAGTGGTGTGAAGGGACCCAGACTCATTCCTGATGACAACTCCCAAGAAGCAGGACTGGAGGGATACTTCAACATGACAGACAAGATCAGAAGCTACTGCCATTGCTCACCAGGCACAATGCATGTGTGCAGGTTCAGAAACAGCCCAGAGGTACAGGGAGGGGACAGCAAATCAGGCCATGACATCCACTGAAAAGTGGCCACTTGCCTTTAGGCTGCCAAAGACACAGGAAATGTGACTTGTAGCCATGATTATTGTGGAGAACACCCTGAGAGTTTAAGTGCAAGACAAAAGGATGTGAACAAACGGGAGCACAAACCACCTGGTCTGCAGATGAAATGTTGCAAAGACTTGAATCTTCTCAGATGTAAGTTCATTGTAATTGCAACAAAGTATTAGATTTTACATGAACTGCACTGCCAATTTCGGTCGGTGTGGAACAGTGAATCTGCAATGTGAGCCTTCCAACATGATGGGCAGAAATGACCCAGGAGGTGGCCAAGCACCCTCCATCAACCAGGGCCCAGGACAGCCATGGAGCTGGCATTGTTACCCCTTACTCCACATGCAGAGATAAGCTCCAGGTGGCTTGAAGGGCTGGGAAAAGTAGAAGTTGATGGGATGGTTTAGAGGTGAGGAGTGTAGTGCTAGGCTGTGCAGCAAACCAGGGCAGTAGAAAATCTGAGAAATGTGAGAAAGGCATTACATCGTCAAAGTTCACTTATAATCCCATGATGAAGTGTCGACATAGGAGGATGTTCAAAGCTGTGCAGATGAAGTGGGGTGAAGATGGCCATGCCTAGTATCAGAAGTGCCAAATGTCACCAACAACGTAAGACAGCCTGTGGGAACATTGGAGGCGGTGAGGGTAGGCGCTGTCATGGGAGCCTGCCCTTCTCTTGGTGTGCCAGAGAGAGACTAGCAGAGCTGGTATCTGAACTGCTGCAGTTTGGAGATCAAGGAACACGGATTGTCCTGTCACTGTCCAAAGGACAGACAAGGCTAGAGAGATGGACAGTGGACGAAAACACTTGTTAGGCAAGTTTGATGACCTGATTTCAGCTCCCTGAACCTATGTATAAAAGCCAGATACAGAGGGGTGTGTAGGTAACCCCAGCACGCCTGCCATCGGTGAGATAGGAGGCCAAGGCAGGAACCAGAGGCTCTTGGAGTCAGCTGGCTTGGAGTGTGCAGCAAAGGGCAAACGAGTCCCTGCCTCAGCACGGTGGAAGGAGAGAGCCAGCTCCTGAAAAGTTGTCCTCTCACATACGTGTGCCACACTCAACCACAGTGCATACATTTTTTCCCACATTGACTATATGTGTGTGTGTGTGTGTGTGGTTGTATGTGCTATGACATACTTTTGGAAATGAAAGACAACTTAGGTTCTTTCCTTCCACTGTGTGGGAAGTCCATGGTTTGTACTTGTGCTGTCAGACTTGGTGGCAAGTGCCTTTAGCTAGTGGCCATCTCACTGGCCAATAAGTAACCTTTTTTTTTAAATTTATGTTTTTAAGTATTTTGTTATTTTTATGTGTTTGAATGTATTACCTGCATGTAGGTAAGTGCACCCATGTCGTGCAGTGCCCACAGAGGACATAAAGGGCTGTCAGATCCCCTGGAACTGAAGTTTCAGACAGTTGTTAGCTGCCTTGTGGGCGCTGGGATTCGAACCCGGGTCTCCTGCAAGAACAGCAAGTATTCTTAACCACTGAGCCATCCAGCCCCTGTAAACTTTTCTTTTAAAGGACAAAGTTAGTGGTAGATTGCTCATCTACCAGGTATAAGACCCTTGGTTCAAAGAGGAACAAAGGATAGTAAAACTGTCTAGATTATTAATTTGGGGTAGTAAAAAAAGTGCAGCCCAGAGCTACATCCTGATAGTTTCTACTTTTATTTCTATGAACTGCAGTCTCAGACTCCTGGTCTCAAGGGATCCTCCTGCCTTAGCTTGCTGAGTAGCTAGGACTCCAGGCACACAAAAATAAGCCCGGCTTTCTGTTTTCAAAGTAGCAGCCATGTGAATAGATTTTTGGGGGTAAATAGGAAGCAGGTCCCTTTGGAAGCCTCCAAGCCCTCACCCATCAGATGGTGCAAGCATAGTCTCTCCTAATGCTCTGTGGTCTGCAAGGCATAGCTCAAGAAACTGTTAGTGGAGACTCACCCCATTCTCATCCATAAGCTAGTACCACTTCACTGTGACCTTAGAAGCACTGGTGAGGAGCAAGCCTTCACCCTTGTGGCTGGTCTCGGGGTTTCTAGGGAAGGACACAGCCATGCATCCATCTGCCTGTATCCCTGGACTGGGCCATGGTAGCTGGTTGTCTTTTGCCTTTGCACTTGGGCGTTTGGATTTCAGTCAGTTCCCAGGGCTATGTGCTTGCATTTGTGATTCTCACACATCTGCAGACTGCTTTCGCAGAACTGTTCCTGCTTGCCTGCCTGATTGTCCCTGCTGTGGACAGCGACAGCAGCACAGCGGACAGTCTATTGGCATTTCCAACTCTGAGAACTTGAACAACCTTCTGTGCTTATCTGCCTGGATTTGCTCTTAGCGAGTTGCTTACACCCTTTGCCCAGTTTTCATGGAGTCAGTCTTGCCTTTGTTCTGCAGACGATTGATGTACTTGCTGTGTGTGACGTTTGTATTTCTCCCAGCTTGTTTGTTGCTGCAGATGGTGGTGTGGGTGCCAGCTCACTCTCCTCACCACTGCTCACCAGGGCTTGGTCCTCTCCATGTGGTCTTGACCTGCCCTTCATGAGCGAGAGAATTTGGACTGGTTTGGGGGCGTCCTGTCCAAGTGGACAACAGGATACCACAGTTTTCAGTACAACAAGCAGCACAATCATCTGACATAAATTATAACATGAAGAATCCCTTTAAAGATAACATCATTGACTTTTTACTCTGCAGGACCGCATAATTGATGCTGGCCCCAAAGGAAATTATTCTAGATTCATGAATCACAGCTGCCAGCCCAACTGTGAGACCCTGAAGTGGACAGTGAATGGGGATACTCGGGTGGGCCTGTTTGCTGTGTGCGACATTCCTGCAGGTACATCACTGAGGGTACTACAGGGCTCTGGGCCACATGGACAGGAAGGGAGGCAATAGCCACTGGGTGTGGCTGGGGCGGAGAGGCTCTAGAACAGTGATTTGGAAACAAATTGATAAGCCATAGGTCATGCCATTGTGCACCTGAAGTGGACGCATGTTCTTGAGACTTCCTATAAGTTAGTGGCCTCAGGAGGCCTCGCAGCACAGCCTTGGTCTCTCCTGCAGGGACAGAGCTGACTTTTAATTACAACCTTGATTGTTTGGGCAACGAGAAGACGGTGTGTCGGTGTGGATCCTCCAATTGCAGCGGGTTCCTCGGAGACAGACCAAAGGTACGGTTTCAACTGCTTCTTGGTGAAGTTGTTTCCTGGTGGGTAGTGGCCTCCTGACATCTGGGAAGAATGCCTTCTAGTGAATGTGTCTCTTCCCAGACTTGTGGTTGTGGCATGGGCAAGTTCCCTGCAGAGGGAGAGAGAGAGAGGGAGAGAGAGCACGAGCAGACAGTAGTCTCTCAATGTAGGCTGCTTAAGACCTTCCTCAACGACGCACTTCTTGTGGTCATGAGGCTCTCACAACAAGCCATAGATGTGGACTTAGTTCAGAAGGCAGCTAGCTGAAATCAGAGTGTTGGGCATACTTAGTCCAGAGGCTTTTTTAAAAAATACTTATTTTATGTCTATGAGTGTATTGCCTGTATATATGTAAGTGCACCCATGTTGTGCAGTGACCACAGAGGTCAGACGTGGATGTCGGATCCCCTGAAACTGGAGTTATAGACAGTTGTTAGCTGCCATGTGGGTGCTGGGAACTGAACTGGGGCCCTCTGCAAGAGCAGCCAGTACTCTTAACTGCTGAGCCTTCTCTCTAGCCCCTCCAAAGGTTCTTTTGGCATCTTTCTGGCCTCTCTCCAGAGGCTGGTGTCTAGTGATCCATGTGCTCCCTGTCTTGTAGAAGCCCCACCCCAACCCTCTGCTGTTTTACATGGTATTCCCTGTGCTGTGTGTGTCTGCCTACAACCTCCATTGCTCTGCCACTCCCCCCCCCCTTTTCTTGTTGGGGAGGGAACCCACGACCCACACATGCTAGGTAAACTCTATTACAGAGCCATGCCCCAAGCCCCTTAATGGTGGATTCTAGATAAGTACTCTACCATTGGGCCACACCTTTCTTCACCAGCCCTGCTTGTTTGATTAGGGACCATCCTATACCAGTTGAGACCTTATTCCAGTTACTTAAAATTTCTGTTTCTAAATAAGGTCATGTTCCAATGCCCAGGAAGAACATGAATTTGGGGCACCCCTTGTCTGCGGCAAAGGCTAGAGCTATCATAGGCAGCTTCACCCTGAGCTGGGACCTGGGCCCACCTTGTGGATGATGTGTGTGTGTGTGTGTGTGTGTGTGTGTGTGTATGTTTTTATGTGTACAAGTATATTGCATGTATGTGAATGTACCTATGTCGTGCAATGCCGCGGAGGTCAGAAGAAAGCTTCGGATCCCCTGGAACTGGAGTTAAGGATGGTTCATAGCTGCCATGTGGGTGCTGGGAATCAAACCCGGGTCCTCTGCAAGTGCAGCCAGTGCTCTTAACTGCTGATCCATCTCTCCACCCCCCGTGGATGTTTTTTAAAGGACTGCTGCCTTGACTGTGGGCCACCCTCACCTGTTCAGCTCGTAATTGAATTATTTGCTAAGAGAAGTGGCCAGTGGGTGGGCACTGGCTAAGGAATGCCTTTGCCTGCACATCCTATCAGCAGGTCCCAGTGTAGCAGTCTTGGAGCCTGTTAGCTTTCTGTCCAGCAGAAGCTGCCTAGGGGCCACTCTGCTGGCCACACCCTCCTCTCTGTACAGGTAGAGTGCCTGCTTTTATATTTGTGGTGTTAGAAATGGAGCCTAGCTACACCTTCAGCCCAGGCTTGTCCTGTAATATCAGAACATCCCCAGGAATTTATAAAGTTCCCCTCTGTCCTGGTTTGTTCTTCATTGCTGTGACAAAATACTCTGACCAATACCAACTTGGGGAGGAAAGAGCTTATTTGTCTTACATCTCCCAGGTCACAGTTCATCCGGGAGCCCAAGGAAGGAACTCGGGGCAGGAACCTGGAGGCAGGAGCTGGAGCACAGGCCATGGAGGAACGCTGCTTACTGGCTTGCTCCCCCTGGGCCCTGCTCAGCCTGCTTTCTTATTGCAACATAAGCCCACCTGCCCAGGGGTGACATCACCCACAGTGGGCCGGGCCCTCCCACTTCACTCAACTATCAAGAAAATGCCTCACAGAATGGCCACAGGCCAGTTCAAAGGAGACAATTCCCCAATTGAGGCTCCTTCAACCCAGGTGTGTCAAGTTGACACTAAAGCTATCCAGCACACCGTCTTAATCTTGGGCCTGTCTTTACAGTTGACCTTTTATCACTTCTCAGTCTGTATAATTCTTTTATGTGAGCTATGCTTAATTCTTGATTCTAGACCTCAACATCCCTTTCTTCAGAGGAGAAGGGTAAAAAGGCCAAGAAGAAAACCAGAAGGCGCAGAGCCAAGGGGGAAGGGAAGCGGCAGTCAGAGGACGAGTGCTTCCGTTGTGGTGACGGTGGCCAGCTGGTGCTGTGTGACCGCAAGTTCTGTACCAAGGCCTACCACCTGTCCTGCCTGGGCCTGGGCAAACGGCCCTTTGGTAGGTGCCTGGGATCCACGGAAGCCTCCAAGGACCTGTGTTTTGTGTGATTGCCACTCTCATTCAGGCCCTCTACTGACTGGGCCTTATCTGATTGCAAATTCATGGGACATTCAGGTGGTGAATGTCTTCAATCTAGAGAACCTGCTGGAGCACAGGGTGGGCACAGACAGCAGCCCCTGGAGCCCTCTGTATAGTGGCCATCTCATTAGCAACAAAGCCCAAAGTGAAATGCACTGGGGTTGTGGTGGGACAAGACCGGTTCCAAGCAGCAGCCTGGTCCCTGGTCTCCAGTCACCCAAAGGGCACGGTCACCTCACTTGACTCCCTCCCCAGGACTTGTAGGCACTGTCCCCAGAGTTGAAGCTGGGCCAGCAGGAGCTGCTTAGATGGAGCCACAGATTTGGCTTTCTGGAAGATAATGAAGTAGGCGTTGTCTTGTACCACCCTGTGTTATTTCAGAGATTTCAGCATCAGGGTGATAATAGTTTCAGAAGGAAAATTAAGAGATTCTCATCCAAAGACAAGAAACCAAAAAGTAATTTAAAAAAAGAAAGTTTTAAAGTACAAAGTCAAGTGACAGAAAAATATTTGCAATGGATGTGATAGTTATCCCTAACCTAGCAAAGATCTTCACAGATTAATCCCAGAAAGATTAATATCCGAGCAGGAAACCGGTCCCCTATGACTAGTCAAGTCACAGGTCAGCCAGGGTGATCAATGGACACCTACCAGGGCTTAGTGTGGCAGCTGACTTAGGACAGCAGTGACTTGTCCCTGGTGTGTGTTGTGGGACACCCAGCTAGCCTCTGAGACCAGACATAAGCTTCTCTTTTGCAACTGAAATGAAATGCGGTATTTTGTGTTACTTTCCATTAATTTGGCTAGCTGGTTTAAAAAATAAGTTTTAGCTGGGTGTGCTAGTATGTTCCAGTCAGCCCACCTCCTTCAGAGACTGAGGCAGGAGGGTAGTGAGTATAAGGCCAGCTTAGACTAAGTACTGAGGACCCACCACTTATAAGAAAAATACAAGACTTGGTATATAACTCAGTGGTAGAGCATGTGCTCGAGGCCCTGGGCTCAATCCTCATTACCCCCAAAATCGCTTTCAGCCCTGAAGATGGAGCTGATTCTGTCGCCTGTTCGATGATGGCTTGTTCCTTTGCAGGGAAGTGGGAATGTCCTTGGCATCACTGTGATGTGTGCGGCAAGCCTTCTACCTCCTTCTGCCACCTCTGCCCCAACTCCTTCTGTAAGGAGCACCAAGATGGGACAGCCTTCCACTCCACCCAGGATGGGCAGTCCTACTGCTGTGAGCATGACTTGGGGGCAGAATCTGCAAGAAGTACCAAGACTGAGAAACCCTTCCCGGAACCACTGAAGTCCAAGGGGAAGAGGAAGAGAAGGAGGTGTTGGCGAAGGGTCACAGAAGGCAAATAGCGCCAAGCAGCAGCTTGGTCAGATCGAGGGGCGGCATTGGGGCAGCCAGCCCCGCCTGCAACGGGAAGGTCAGCATGGCACTGGCCCCAAGGACCCAGCTCATAGTGCCACACGTACAGGCCTCCTTAAGCGGGAGTGCCTCTCCCCACTGAGCCATCCTCAGCAGCTGAGCTGCGTCTGCACTGATGCCCGTCGGAGCGTGCTCGGCGGTCCGGGACAAACAAGCCTTACTCCACAGCATTACAGGCTACACTTGAATCTGAGAACCAACATCAAGGTGTCCTCCCGTTGTTTCTATTTTAGATTAAAGTCACGATTGAAGATTAACTGGCATGCAAAATGCTTTTATCTCACCTTAAATGTATAGAATAGTCTTGTAAAGGTCACCATTAGCTCTTTATCCTGACGGTGCCAGCTTCTGCTCACACTGCCCCCACTCAGGATGGACTGGGACTTAGGCCCTGGGCTACTGCCAGCCAGGATTGTGATCATTATTTTGCTCTTTTGAAATAGCGTTATGTTCTTTGTACTAATGTGAATTTTTCCTCAAAGTGCTTTTCCATCCTCTCAAGTGGTCGTGGTGTTGCAAGATTCCTCTTGTGGTTTTGCTCCTTGTGGATTGACCAGTGGTGGGACTGGGCCCTGTGGAGCAGAGTAGCTGCCCTGCTTTGGCCATTTCCCCCTGGTGTCTTCTGAACCCAGAAAACAGCATTTGGGGAAAATTATTTTCTTCATTTGGCCATTCTCTATCAGTTTCTGGCTTTTATTCTTCATGTATTTTTGCTAAACCTGTTTCACAAATCACTACCGACTAAAGTGTATTTGCTGATGTGACCCCAAGTTCTCAGGCAGATGCGGACTGTTGAGAACACGGCGGGCCTAGTGGATCTTGAGGGAGTACAGGCCCGGGCCCACACGGGCCCCCACAGCTGAGGCCCGGAGCCCAAGCTGCTGTCGGCCGAAGCTCTGTCTCTGTTGTGCATCTGTTTGCGGAGCTCCAAAACTCACTCTCACTCCACCAGGGCACCACTTGGTCTCATGGTGGACAAGTCTGATGGTGCCTATTTCCCTGTGAGATTTCAGTGATTTCTTTAAAAGCTCAGTGCGAGAACTACTAGGTTGTCTGGAAGACTTGTTTCTGCCTTACTATGGGTTCCTCTTGGCCCTGGAGAGTTCAGAGCTCCCATAAAGGAGCAGACTACATATTATCTTCTGGGAGGGGAATTGCATGTGGCAGTGGGTGCTGGTTTTTGAAAATCCACGTTAATAGTGAAGCCCATGACTTTGAGATCCCTAACAGGGTCTGCTGTCTGTTGCTGTCCTGCCTTTTGGTCCCAAAGAACTGCAGCCTCCATGTAAACCAGGATTGGCCATTTTGTGGTCTTCATTGGCACTCATGCATCAGGTACAAGATCCACAGGCCTAGCTCGTGGTGAGTGCTGACCAGTGGCCGCTCATACCCACCTACAGTTACAGCCCTGCAGAGGTTGTATCAGCTTTGCAGCTAGCTGGTGGCTTCCACAGGCACAGGTCTAGTTACTTTTGGAGACACCCACCTGACCAGATGAGGCTGGGAGCATTTGTCAGTTTGGAACGTAAGTTGGCTCATTACTGTCCTCCAAAAATCCTGGCTTGGTTCATAGATTTCTGTTCTTTATGCCCTAAGTTTGGAAGGCGGAGGCGGTGCAGGCTGGGTAGCCTTCCTACATACACATGGCCCTGGCCTTTGGAGCCCCTGGCCCCCAGGCTCCTGCAACTGCTCAGTGGCGCCTGTGCAAGTCAAAACATCAGAATTGGTTTGGCAGTGCACTTTGGGGAACAGATTAACTTTTTACTCTTTTTTTTTTTTTGGACCTTAAATGATTTTTGAGTCACTTTGATATTACTTCCAAATTATTTTATGATCTTTCTGAAGGAAATATTGCAAAATTTTCAGACGATTTCCCCTTCCCAAAAACTATTAATGAGCAAATAACACTAACTAAAAACAAAGCAGTTTATAAAGTAACAGCTTAGGGTGGTGGTTTTTCCCACTGATTCTGGAACTGGCCAGTATTTTGAATCTGGGGAAGATTTGGTGATTTTCTGAGCATCAGCCCCAAGCTTTTGTCCTGAATGTGAAGTAAAACAAATGAAAACTGCCCAAACTCCTTGGCATCAGAAACCAACCGGGAGCTGTACCTGAGCCCTGCACACGCCTCATCATGCACAGCCCTGTAGGGTTGGCAGCAGCCCTGGCGCACACACCTGGTGTTTCCATGCTAGCACTGGCCTCCGAGGCTGCGGAACCATACCACTGTTAAAAGCTGGCGAGAGTGGTGAAGACCCAGGTGCTGGTCCCTGAAGGAGCGCACGGCCCCCTCCCTGGCACCAGCACCCAGGACTCCCTGGCTCTCAGGCACACTCAGTTAAGCACTTCTGGTGGCTTCAAAGTGTTTACTGTGATGTTGGCAGCATGGTGTGACATGTCCATCTTCCAGAGCTACCTGATTTTCAAGGATTAAACGCCTGTTTGAGAAGTTAATGTAAACAACTGTCAGTTGCCAAATATCTTCATCTATGAGAAGTGTAGTTGACGACTGTTAGTCAGTAGAGTAACATGCTGTGTCCATGGTGTCAGCATATCCTGTTGAGATGTGAAATGCCCTATCAGAAATTAAATATAAGTTCAAATGTGCCTATTGGTGTCAACTTCTTAAACTATAAAGCCGGAAGTTCCTTTTAGGATGCTGGGTGTGCTCACCAGGTTTGACAGGGAAGACTCAAAAGCTTGAAACTCATTTTGAGGAGGGGGCCCACGGAAACAGACTTGAGAACTGCCAGTGGGGTGGCGGGAAAATAGCGTTAACATGAAAAGTCGTGTCTGCAAATGTATTCTTGTATTAAAAAACTTTAAAGGCCTTTTTCTTACACTTACTTTACATGGGATTATTTTGACACCTGTTTCCCAGATGCTGTTGAAGGGTAGCGGGCACAAGGCTGGCTCTACCTCTGCTCTACCAAGGAGCAGATGCTCAAACTAGGGGAATTCTGATGGTGGTGAAATGCTCACCTCTTTTTTTCGAACATAATTCAGTTCTCAAATTCCTACGAAATGCAAAGTGGTTGGGGGTGGGGGCTGCTGCTTATTTTCCAGCCCTGTGGCCAGGAGCTGGTCATTCCCTGGGCCAGTGACCTCCTATGGGGTGGTTCTCCCTTCCCCATGCTGACCCCACCCACTTCCCAGCCCCGGTCTAGGTCTAGGGTGGCTTTGGGGGTCTCCCAGCCTCTCCTCCCTCTGGGTTCCAGGAACTACACAGGGAAGGTTTGCTCCCAGAGCAGAGAGTTATGCTGGCCTGAAACAAGCTCTGTGGCTTTGCTTTAGAAAAGCTAAACTTTAATACTCAGATCCATTTACAGTGAAAACGTGCCCAGAGACAGATCGCCAGTGTCCACAACTGTACAAAGAGAAATACAAAACCCAGCAGGCAGCAGTGGTGAGGCCTGTCATCTCCTGACATGGGAGGGTTAAGCCCTTTCACACCCTAGCCTGCGGGTGTCACTTCTGGTCCCCTCAACCTCACAGGGAAGGGCGTGGATGAGCAGAGAAAGCCCTCGCAGCCAGTGGACTTTAAGAAAAATTTAAAAGGTCAAATCTTAACAGACACTAAAATTAGAAAGTTGTAACTTTTGGTTTAGCATTCAAAAATGTAATATTAAATCCAAGTATATTAGTCACATGAAAAGTAACCCATATTAAAATATAAAAAAAAAATAAGCCCAAACACCCCAGAGGAATATCTAAAATTTAAACCAGCTGGGGCCCAGTGGCCTGTGGAAGGCAGGCGGTGGGAGGGCGTGTCCTGTGGTATCTGCCCTTGGCCACTCAGAGCAGTCCTCCATCCTGGAATCCGGGTCAGCAGCAAAGGTGGCAGCCTTAGGAGACATTGGTCATAGGCTTATACTTCTTGAAGCGTGTCCACTGGCCTGTGGCGTAGTTCATCTCAAACACTGTGTCCACCAGCATTGTGGTGCTGCCCTGGCCGTCCGATTTGGGCAGGTCCTCTGTGTGCTCACTGAGCTTGATCTGGATCACATCTCCCTGCTCCGGGCATGGATTCTCTGTGGAGAGCAGGGGCTGCTGAGCAGGTGCCTGGAGCAAAGGAGCCCCCCACCCACCCACCTGCAACAGGGTCCCGCCCAGGCCTAGTAGCGCAGACACACCTCGGGAGCCAGCCATGAAGCCCAGGATGAGGGCCTTCTCTGGCCGAGTGACCTTGTTGGCTGTCTTGAACATCTCCTGGGCAGCAAACATCTGTTCTCTCTGTGGAGAGAGAGCATGAGTGCCTGGGCTTCCAGGACCATGTGCCCACCACTGGCCCCTCCAGGTTCAGCCTGCTGCAGTCCCAATTCCAAGTGGGCAAAGTTGTGCCATCTACCTAATGGCCATAGGCTTCCAGGGCACACCTACCGTGAGGGACAGGTTCTTCTTAGGCTGCTGCTGGGCAGGAGGAGGAGCCTGGGTCTGAGGGGCCACCATGGCCACTGGGGGTGTCTGAGCAGCGGGGACGACGGCTGGGGGTGTGGTAGGTGTCAAGGGTGAGGTAGGTGCTGCAGGTGCTGGTGTCGCTGGGCTCAGGCCACTGTTATACATGGGCGCCCTCTGCTTGAACTGTGCTGGCAGTGTGGGGCTTGGGGTGCTGGGCTCCTCAGGTGGCCGACTGGCCTGCAGGCTGGCTTCCCGGGAAGGTGGGGCTACGGGCAAAGCAGGTTAGCCAAGAAGAGCTGTAGGGACCCCTGCAGTTTAGACCCCTAACTGCCATTCATCCCAGACTCTGGGTCCCGACACCATTTCCCAGAGAGGCAAAAGGCTCAGCTCCACCTCCCAGGCCTGCCTGCTGACTAGAAGCCCTCCCAGCCAGAGGCACAACCCCTAAGCACTCCCCCTAGAGGGGCAGGGCCAGTGTCCTCAGCATATCCAGATCCACTGAGGTGTTGTCCAGGGCTCTGGTCAGATCCTGACCTATGGCAGGTCCCCCACAGCCTGAGCGCTAGTGGTAAAGCACTGTAGAGCAGCTTCCCCAAGTCTGCCATCTGCTGGGCCCCAGCAAGACTGCCTGACCCCAAGGGCCTTCCTGCCTGAAGCGAGCTGATCCCTGCCCTGCTGACCAGCGACTAGCCCAGCCCAATGGAGCCAAACCCTGTAACAACTGACAGACCCAAGCTTAACCACGAGGGTGTGGGACATTGAAGGCTCGTCCTTGGCAGGATCCCTCATATGGGAAGAGACAGTCCTGGGCCCACCCACACAGAGAATGAGTGCCAAGAGTGGCAGTCGTGTGCTCACTCCACTCAGGGCTTCTGGCTTATTTCTTGGTCAAGAGGCGCACCTTCCATTGCCTGGCATAGGCAGAAACCAAGGGACGATGGGACCGGCATCTTGATGGTGGACAACAGGATTTGGACCCCTAGCGAGCTCCATATGGGCAAAGCTACCTCCTGGGTGGACCCTCTAGCCTCACTCCAAATAGTCGGGTAATCCTGTGACCACCCCAAGGCAGGTGATTGGGGCAGGCTGGGGGAAGATGACCCAGACTGCAGACCGCTCACCTGAAGGGGCCTCCGAGCTGGGGATGTAAGATGAGGCAGGGACCACACTGGGTGTAGAAGGCAGGTAACTTGTAGAGGGCAGTGCTGGCTCACTGTTCAGAGACCCTAGTTTCTGGAACACAGACACCATGGTCTCTATGGGTAGAGCCAGGGGCTTCAGTGCCCCTCTCATCCTAGGAAAGCCTGGACAATCTCCACCAGCTGGCTCCCATCTCTAGAGCCTGCTGTCCCCAGGGCAGGGACAGTGGCTTCTTTAGACCGTAAGCCCCGGAGTTCAGTGGTGTTGGACTCTAAACTTAGGCCTGGCCACCACCCAATGCTCCCAAACTGGTATGTCTGGGGGAAAGTTCAGCAGTGCAAAGGGCACCACAAAGAAAACAAGCTCGCTCTGACAGCCCATCCCATGCAACAGGGACAAGATACACCTTGCCTCATAGCCTGAGCACCTGTCTTGTCTACCCATTTCCACTTCCACAGAGAGCCCCTGGGGAAGGACTGTTCTGGCGGATTCACGCCTCAGACAGGCGGCCGACCCACTGGACGGAGGGTCAAGGAGGTATAATGCTGAGGAGACCCTGGGCAGTGCCCTAGCACAACGCAGGTACTTATTCCAAACCCAGGACTGACTGGATTTTGCCACTCCTACATAACACATATACAAATACATCTGTGCACACACACGCACGCGCACACACACACACAGAGTCCTTCACAGAACACATCTTAGTGGCTAATGATCAGGACAGGGAGCACACATTTCAGCTATGTTGGGCTGGTGACACCTGGAGGTGTGATACCCATGTTGCTGCACTGCTGTGTGGACACCCTGCCCGTGTGGACACCCCGCCCGTATGGACACCCCACCCGTGTGACACCCCACCCGTGTGACACCCCGCCCGTGTGGACACCCCACCTGTGTGGACACCAGGCCAGCAGCATAGTCTGGGGTGGCATTTTCAACAACTGTCTCTTCCTTGGCTGGCTTCTCCACCACTTCTGTGTCTGTCAGTAAAGCAAGAGTGCTGGTCAGTGGGCCTGGGGTCAGCTCCAGGAGACGAGTGTCCTTTGTGAGGGCTCAGTGCAAGGTGGCATTATACACTTGGGTCTCCAGAAAAAGAAATGATTCCTTGGGCCAGATGTGGTAGCCTATGGTCTCAGCACTCGGGAAGCTGAGACAGGAGGACCGTTGCAAGCTTGAGGCCAGCGTGGACTACAGAGTGGGACCTGTCTCAAAACACCCATCTCTTCTTCCCCAAAAGATTCACTGGGAAACATGCCTCCACCATGAGGTAAGAAGCCAGACGCTCAGGCCTGCTGCATCAAGGGAACCAGCCCCCAGACACCATGCAGAGGCGGAGCATGCCAGGCTGCAGTGCCTCCCTGTTCTCACCCACAGCCCCATATGCACCTAAGGTCTTCCTCCTCCTCTTTGCCTCTCGGCCAGCACCGACAGTGTTCAGCTCAGAGATATCCAGGAGCTGCCAAAACAAAAACTCCATACTTTGTTACAGAGTAGGGGACCGAGGCTGGCCCTTCCAGGATGGTCAGAGGCTGGGGTGCCCCACCTTCACACCCCTTTCCTTCTGCAGCGGTGTCCTCGAAGGTGGGATAGGGGTCCGGTTCCCTGCAGGGCTGAAGACACTGGGTGTGGTGGGACTTCTGAAGGGGGCCTGCTTCGGGATGCCTTTGAGAGGAGCTGGAGAAAGTACAGTGGTCTTAGTCAACCAGAAACTGGTGACCAGTGACATACCTATGGGGCCCGGCCACCTTTGATAGGGTGGGCAGAGCAGGGCTGCCTCGGTCTTGGGTAAGTCCCAGAGGGAAGTCTGCCTCCTAGAACATTTGCATGTTGCATCCTTCACTAAAAAGAGCTCAGGCTGTTCCTGCCAGTGTCACTGCGGGGAAGGCACACTCGGTCTGAACCTACAGGCTTAATGACATCCCTGAAGGTCCGCTGGGAAGAGCCAGGCTTGGTACCCCAGAGGTGGATGATTTCTGGGAGGGCTGGGGAAATGGGAAATGACAGCTAGACATGGTAACTGGGGACCGCCCCCGACTCCCCACACCATCACCAGGACAGTTGCCATCTAGGGCATCAAGTTCTGCTCAGAGAGTGAGGCTTGGGGCAGGAGGCTTGTCACATGCTAGGTCAAAGGTGGACACATAGTGATGGCCAGGCAGGCCCTCTCCCAGAAAAGCCCTTGGGGGCTATCTCAGGTAAAGGAAGATGGGTGTGCTCCAGGCAGGGAGGAAGCAGCATGGAGCCTGGGCTACAGTGGCCATACCAGGAAAAGGCCCACACCCCACAGCAGCAATGGTCAGCCACACCAAGACTATCACTAGATCCTGTGTGACAGCTTTGGGATTATGGAAACTTGGTATACCAAGATGCCAGCCAAACCAAACAGGGAAGCCAGAGACCATGGGAAGACCAGCAAGGGTTCCCCTTCACTCCACGGCATCCATCTCCCTGTAGTCCCTGATGCCAGAGAATGGCTGTTCTGTCTCCTGGCCGTGCACTGGGCCCTAGGCATGTTTCCAGGGGAGTCCTGCTTTCTTGTAATTGATACTCATTCCCAACTCAGAGAGAGCAGCATTTTGGGTGGGCTGGCTGCACTCTGCCTGTCACACAAGTACCACAGCCTGTGTGAGGTGCTACAAACCTGTGTGAAGACTGACCTATGCCACCCAGGCACAGCTCTTCCCACCCCACCTTGGGAAACTTAGAATAGCTCCAGTCACCCTAACCCTAGTCACCTGCCACAACTGCTCTACCCAGGATGGTGGCTACTGGTGACAGGTGCTATGGCAATGTCTTCAGCCCCCCTGTTGGCTCTCCACAGCCCCATGCTGGCTCCCCACACACAGCCTCCCTGCCTGCCTCTCCCTAGGTGAAGACACTCGTGTCAGGAACAGGGCCTAGCCTGTCCTCACACATTTATTCACTCAGCCAATGAGCCTCACTTTTCAAGACTAGTGTCTTGGTGACTTTCCTAATGAGAAATTAGGTCCAACCCGCCTGGCCAGCAGCACCATGCTAGACTGAACATGCACACAGCCTTACTTGTGGTGTCCATCTTGCGGAGCAGCCCCCGGCCCTTGGCGTGGAATGGCACCCCAGTGCTTCTCTTCAACTGCTGCGCCGTCTCGGTGGCTGTGTGGAAAGAAACACAGGGTCAAGATGCCTGGACCACAGGGCCTCTTAGCCCTCAACGGAACCTCAGCAAACGCCCAGAGGGTGGGCTAACTTCACAGCTGCTATTTTCTTTAAAAGGAACGACTGTTTCCTGTGATTCCTTTATAAATCATGGCTGTGTAATCATAATCCCTTCACACCCTATAGCTATTAAAGAAACTCAGAGCTTGTAAGAAGTGTGCTTTTGTTTTAATCACTGTTCCCAGGGCATCAGGATAAATGGGGTGACAAGAGAAACGAAATGTAGCATTTTCACTGGGGGCTTGAGTTTCCTTGACTGGAGAGGAAGGAGGTGTTCCCTGTGTTCCCGTTTCTGGTTTGCCAAGTCTTACCCCTGGGGTCCTGATTCTGGGTGCTCCTGGTGCTTCTGTGAACATGCTAACAGGACGACAGTTAAAAACCGCCTTCGCTCCCACTTCATCTCCTCCAGGAGGTATAGCATTGCCCTCTCCCATGGCTACAAATCCCACCACAGGGAAAGATCTAGAAGGCAGCACCCAGCTGGACACGATATCCTGTAACCAACGTGAGGCTGCGTCTCTCCACTAGGATGTCCCTGATGCTGACTGCTCTGATGGCTTTCAGGACTTGCCACTGCCCTTGGACCCCCACCCCGTTGACTCCACCCCCTCAGGGACTCTGATGAGGAAGGACACCAAGTCTAGCAGGGCAGAAGACTCTCAGAGTGCGCACCGGCCTTCTAATGCCCAGAAAGGGCAGTGATGCAGCAGTCAAGGTATCAGAGAAAGTAGGTTCTAACCCTCGGCACGAAGTGAAATCCAGCTCAGTCAGAGCCGAATGCCAAAGAAAACGAAATGGTAGAAGTTATAATCAAGTTGAACATTGAATAACAAAACCCAGTGAGTTATAAACACCACACAAAGGCTCATTTTTGTCTAAATGAACATTTCCCATTTACTGAGACGCCTGACACAAGTTCAAACACAACAGGCTTTCTGTGTCAAGAACTTCCATGTTAGTAGCCCCAAGATGGTGGGAGCCACATACGCTGTGCCCCCAGGGAACCAGGAGCTCACACCCCTGACCTCTTGACAGCAGCCTCAGGAAATGAGCAGACCTTTCACAGCAGCTCAGTGGTTCGGGCTCCACAGAGCTCCCAGACAGCACCGGCCCCAGGACACCATTACTTTCTTCTTGAGTATCTTCCTCAAATTCCCTGGAAACAGGGTATTTGCTGGGTCTGGTGGCAGAGGCCTGCAATCCCAGGATTTAGGAGGCTGAGGCAGGAAGGAGAAATCAGGCTAGCCTGGGCTATGCAGTGAGACTTTGTTTCCACAACAAACAAAAACCAAAACCTGGACCATTTATAAACAGTAATGTTAGCTGCATAACAAAAATAACAGTTTACTAAAATCTGTGGGTTTGTTTTTTTTTTGTCTTTTTGAGACCAGTCTCCCTGTAGCCCCAGCTGTCCTGGAACTCACTATGTAGACCAGGCTGGCCTTGAACTCACAGAGATCCGCCTGCCTCTGCCTCCTGAGTGCTGGGATTAAAGGCGTGTGCCACCATGCCCGGCCTGTATTTTTTATTTTTAATCTTTTTCATTTTTTTTCCCCCAAGATGGGGTCTATCTTGTCAGGCTGGTTTCAAGCCAGTCTGGATTCCAGTGGTTTTCCTGCCTCAGCAGCTCGAGTACCTGGACCAGCGGTGCTCAGAACCTGTGCTTCGTTATCTGGTCAGAGCACACGGCCGCCCCTGCAAGCAGCTTCCACACAAACTGTAGTTAAGACATGATTTGTGAAAACAGCAATGAAGTCATCAGGTGTTTCTAAGACAACCACCACAGGTGGCTCAAACAGGCTGCAGCCCTTGTTGGGAAGGTCCAGGGCTGTCAAGGTTACAGGCACCACAGCTCAAAGTCTGGAGGTTTTTAACGCCTATTTTCAGAACACAGGTTAGTACAGTAATGGCAAACAAATTCTAAAGCCATGGAGAAGTCAGGTTGTCTTTTTGAAAGACAGGCTGGGCCTCTTAAGGTAAGAGAGCACATGGCCGGCCCAGAGAGCACACAGGCAGAGAGCACACAGGCGGAGAGCACACGGCCGGGACAGAGAGCACACAGGAGGAGAGCACACAAGCGGAGAGCACACAGGCGGAGAGCACACGGCCGGCCCGGAGAGCAAACAGGCGGAGAGCACACAGCTGGCCCAGAGAGCACACAGGCGGAGAGCACACAGCCGGGACAGAGAGCACACAGGCGGAGAGCACACAGCTGGCCCAGAGAGCACACAGGTGGAGAGCACACGGCTGGGACAGAGAGCACACAGGAGAGCACACAGGCGGAGAGCACACAGGAGGAGAGCACACAGGCGGAGAGCACACAGGCGGAGAGCACACGGCCGGGACAGAGAGCACACAGGCGGAGAGCACACAGCCGGGACAGAGAGCACACAGGCGGAGAGCACACAGCTGGAGAGCACACGGCCGTCCCAGAGCGCACA